TATAATATATATATATAATATTATGTTCAATATGACAGAGAAGCTCAGAGATAATCAGATTGTAACGAGGGAGGAACTCTCTCTCTCTACGTGGTGCGTTTGATGTCTCATATTTAAGCTCTTTCTGCTCCTCTTCTTTGGATAACTGGGCACAAACATAAATATATATCAGGGTGGAAATGTACTAATACGTGAGATAGAAGGAAGGAGTCATTAAAAGTAGAAAAGTAAAGGTTACACACAGTCATATGTTTGTCTAAAGTTGTCTCAGCCTTTATAATTTGTTCCAGGTCTCAATGTGATCGGGATCATTACAGTCTTAATTATTAGTTATTTATAATAATAGTACATGATGATAGAAAACATACAGAAACTATATATGATGGTATTTATATCTTTTATACCAGTTTTATATATTTATATTTTATTATTACTGACTGCTTTTTATTACCTGTAATAATTTTATGTGATTTATGATTTTAGTTTCATCTGTAAAACACTATATAAAACACATTTTATATATGAAAGTTTCTGTATAAATAGTTTATTATTAGTCGTAGTAGTAGTAATAGTTTTTATTGTAGTGGTAGGTACTGAGTTTTGATTTTGGCATATTATCTGTGAGTAAACAAATATTTATATTCATCTTTGGCAGCGATTCATCAAATGTGAAACTTTCTATAAATCATTTCTGTAATATAATATAGTCAGAATTCGGCCGACAGTGTTATAGATATTAATGCTGTAATTCTTCAAGAAGAAATATTTTTATATACTAACTGTTTAAAGTTTAAAAACTTGTTTCAGCATTCATTCGACCGTAATCATTAACGAATCGAGAGACTAATAAGTTCACCAAGAAGGTAAAAAGGGAATTAATAAAATTCTCAAACTGTAATAATAAACATTAAATAAATAAACAGACTCACAATGGCTGCTTTAATGTTAAAGAACACAATAAAACCTGTTTGTTTCATTCAATAAAAGTGTTTAAATGGATTATGAGTACAGTTTTATGTGTTAAACATTCTTCAAGCAGTTTTAGTCATTTTAAGTGACACTGACTTAATTTTCTATTTTTTATTTGTACTGTGAAAACAAAATACCTTTTTAAAAGTTATTAATCAGAATGTTTCTGTGAGAAGTTTTTGTAACTCCAAAACAATAGTTGAAACGGATTACATCGACATTTTTAAGTAACACAAACTCAATTTTGTAAGTTGATTAAGAAGCTTTTACTATTATTTTAAGTGACACTATATTAATTGTTTTACAGCAGTTAGCATCCAGCCACCTTCTGCTCTGGAACGAGCTTCAGAAAATAGACTAAAATAACTTTACCCTAATGAAAAACCCCTGTATCCCTTTAAAAAGACCAACAATCCCTAACAACCTGCTCTCTCAATCCTTTTAATGATAGTTCCTGCACCTCTAATTCCCTCCACAGTTACAACAACTTATCACATTACAGTGAAGTCGTCGTCTTCATGCTGAGGAGGACTGGAAGGAGTCCATGGGAGTGTTTTCCCATCAGAGCCGTCGCTGTCAGACGGACATAAACACCGATCACAGACACATGGACGTCCCGTAATCTCTCTCTCTGGAACACTTTCTGTTTATATTGTGTAAACAGGAGTTTGTGTGAAACCTCCTCATGTGAACATGAACTGGACGTAATCAGGACACTGAAGTCCTAACAACACCAACAGAGATCCCGGGATCTGTAAACCAAATGTTTGTAACTGACGTAGAGACAGATACAAAGTGATGGTCGGTGTCACGTGCTAGCTGACAGCAGCTATCTCTGCTGCCACACCAATAATAATTAGCTCTGTGCTTTCAGCTGCGTGTCATCGATCGACTGTATTGATGATTCCATCACCGCTGGCTGTGAGTGCTCTCTCCGCTGTAGATACCGAGCACTTCAATAAGTACGACCCTGAGAACGAGTTGAGACATTTAACTGAATAAAAAAGGCTGGAGATCTTTGATATTTTCTGATTCCCCTTGAAATCAATGAAACAAGGCGGTATAAACACTCCTGCTTCTGTCCACAGGGGGCGCCAGAATCAACACAATGTGAAAGTTCATTGTAGCTGCTTTAACAGGACTCAGTTGGATGCAAATGTTTTGGTGCAATTATCAAATCTTTGTGATTTTTTCCCAACCTGGGGATTTTAAGATGTGTAAGAAAACGTAAAACTTACACACAGTTGGACAATATCTCAGCATTTTATTATGTTTTATAGTTTTGATGATTCTTAAAGATCTAAATTAACGGTAAATGTTCACAAAGCCTTCACTCTCTGATGAACAGCCTCATTCTGAATCAGAAAAGTTCAAACAAGCAAACGATAGAACGATAAGAAAACACTGAATCTGCTCAACATTCATCCAAATCTCTGATTTTACACAAACGTTACTGAGTTCACTGTTTGTGTTCATTGTTCAGTGTATCAGCTGTTCTCTGCTGTTATTGTTGAATATAATATGAAATATCCATTAAATAAGTTTATCTAAGTTTACACTAAGATAAAAAAAAATGTCCCTTAAGGAAAAAGGTTGGGGAACCAGTGCTCTAGGATGTGGAACATAAAATATATTCTTTTAGCAAACATTCAGGCAGAGTTAATGTCATAAATTGAACAAAAATACAAAATAAAAACATCATCATGACTAGTTCTTTAATATTCTTGCATCCAGAGCTCCTTTTAGATCTTCAATCCACTGCGAGCTCCCAAAACCTTCTGCTGGGTCTCTTCAGGTCGTCTGTGGTGGTTTTCGAGGAACCTTTAGGATCATTATCCTGTTGTAGAAGCTGTTATTTTACAGACACTGTGACGTTTGCATCTACAATTTGCTGTTATTCAGTGGAATCCATTAATTCCTCCACCTGTGCAATGTTTCCTGGCTGCAACACAACCCCAAAGCATGATGGATCCACCGCCATGTATGACAGCGGGGAGGCGTTATTCTCCTTTATTCTCTGCAAACATTGTGGCCACAAAGTCGTATATTAACTCCATTACTGTGAGTCCGTGCTGTTACATTAATACAGGAGTGTGAGAGAAAGTACACCGGCACAACATAAAGGGAGATTCTGTTTTTATTTTCAAAAGTTGTACTTCAAAACCACTAAGGTCATTTATAAGGCATTCACAACAATTCTCTTTTTTATCTTTTTTTTTTTTTTGGTTTTTGAACATTTGAGACCGTTTTTGATGCTTTCAGAGAGGGTTTCCTACAACAGGAGTACAGCTAAGGCACAGCACTACTCCCAGAGAGAGAGAGAGAGAATAAAGAAAAGCAAGGAAGTAACCAAACAAACAGTCAGTAAGACAGAAATGGTTGAAAGACAAACAATAGGTTGGTTCTTGATACAAAATACACAGCATTATAGTGTGAGGGCAAAAATCTGAAGTATGAAAAGAACAAACCCTCTCCCTCCAGAATCTGAAGGTTTCACACCGTCAAAACCTCCTAAAAAAAACAGTCACATGACGTCTGTCCTCAGCAGTGTCCAAACAGCCGGACCTTTCTCCATCGGTAACTTACAAACTGTACATCATCTGTGAGTATTTTACAAAATACTGATTTACATTGACGCACTCGTCATATGAAAAATACATATCGCACATAAAAGGACTCTTCAACTCTTCTCTTTTTTAGTCTGAAATGATGCCGAAATGACGTTACAGTAAATAATGTTTAAGCTTTATGATGAGACTGATCTGTTAGTTTTGGTGTAAAGCTTTAAACCAAATAACAGTTGGATTAAACAGTCTTGTACCTGGTCAGGGCTTTAACTGTTTGATTTCAGCATTAGAATGAATCCCTCACAACACATTTCAAAATAAGAGCTTGCCATATTTTACAGCCTTTTTGGTATCAAAATATCAGAATAAATATCGATTTAATTCTGCAATAAATACGTCACAGTATTTTGTAAATAGGCAAAACCCCCTAACAACTGTGCGTTTTTAAGAAATAATTTTCCAGGACTTTTCCAGGACATTTTCCAGGAGTTTTCTTGACAATACAGGACAGCAGTTGCTCACAAACGGTCATATAATTTAGCGGTAAGCCTATACACATTGTTCTTCTGTCTAAAGATGCAGGTTTATTATGAAGTGTCTCAGGTTCATTACAGGTCTGTTTTTAGCGTTTACGGGTTGTGCTTTACATCTCCTGTGATTTGACTACAGTTTACTAGGTTTCCTTTAAAACTAAGATCTCAGTGAAAACAATATTTAAAAATTTCCATAAGAACGTTGATTTAAAATGGTTTTGGTGTGAGAACCTCTAAAAAAAACTGATCTGATTTAGTATGTTTTGACATTATGAATGAATTACACATTGTCTGATACCCACACACACATAACGGCTGCATTTCTTCAAGCACTATTGCTCTCAGAAGATTTATTTGCCAGTATAGTTTGGGGACACTCGTATAGCTATAATGCTGAACTCAAACAGGTAAAAATACTCCGACTGTGTTCTGTTTAATCCTCAACGTAGTGGCAGTAAATTTTGATGATATTTTCATCCTGTGCACTGCTGTTGTTGTTCACCTGCACAGAGAACGACTGTGCTGATCCAACCATGCCTCCATCACTTTAAATAATAAATTATATATATAAATGTGTGT